GGCGCCGAGCCAATGAGTGCATTTTCTAAGTGTATTTTAGTCATTTTTCTTTTCTCTTCTTCTCTTTTCCCTTTCCTTTCCTGAGTCTTACTCTGTTGCCCTGGGTAGAGTGTTGTGATGTCATAGCTCATAGCTCACAGCAACCTCAAACTCTTGGGCTCAGGCAATCCTCTGGCCTCAGCCTCCTGAGTAGCTGGAACGATAGGTGCCTGCCATGATGCCTGGTTAAGTTTTTTTTTTTTAATAGAGACAGTGTCTTGCTTTTGCTCAAGCTGGTCTTGAACTCCTAAGCTTAAGCAGTCCACCACCTCAGCTTCCTAAAGTGCTAGTGTTACAGGCATGAGCCACTGTACCCAGTTTTATCATTTTTCTTGACAATAGCCTGTAGTAAGAAATATACTTAACCAGGGCCAGGCATGGTGACTCATGCCTGTAATCTTAGCACTCTGGGAGGCTGAGGCGGATGGATTCCCTGAGCTCACAGAAACCAGCCTGAGCCAGAGTGAGACCCTGCCTCTAAAAATAGCTGGGTGTTGTGAGTACCTGTAGTCCCAGCTACTTGGGAGGCTGAGTCAAGAGAATTTCTTGAGCCCAAGACTTAGAGATTGCTGTGAGCTGTGATGCCAGAGCACTCTACCTAGGGCGACATGGTGAGACTTTGTCTAAAATATATATATATGTATGTATGTATGTGTGTGTATATATATATACACACACACACACACACTTAACCAGATAATCTGGTACATGCATGCATATTTTATTTAAGTAAAAGCTAAATAAAAGTTTTTTGATATTAAGGATCTTCTGGTATTTTCCATCCTATTTCATTTTTAAGATGTTGGTTGTGGCTGATTGCATTGGCTTATGCCTGTAATCCTACCAGTATGGGAGGCTGAGACACGAGGATTGCTTGAAGCCACGAATTTGAGACCAGACTGAGCCTGAGAGAGAGAGAGACTGTCTCAAAAAAAAAACAATTGTAACATATTAAATTGATTTCATCATTCACTAATGGTGGCAAACCTCAATTTGAAAAACATTGATATAAATAATCACTAGTTTTTTATTTGTTTATTTTTTTAAGGCTAGTCAAGTGAAGCAGTAGAGTGGAGAAGGAAGAAAGTTTTGAGACAGAGTCTCACTTTGTCACCCTTGGGACAGTGCTGTGGCGTCATAGCTCACAGCAATTTCTATTGCTTGGGCTCAAGCAGTTCTCTCTCCTCAGCCTCATGAGTAGCTGGGACTACAGGCGCCCACTACAACGCCCAGCTACTGTTTTAGAGATGGAGTCTCGCTCTAGCTGGTCTTAAACCTGTGAGCTCAGGTAGTCTATCTGCCTTGGCCTCCCAGAGTGCTGGGATTACAGGCTTGAGCCACCTGACCCAGACTTCTCATTGATTTTAAATTTAAGTACTGTATCTTCATGCTTCTGTTATCTACTCCTTTAGTAGTGCTTTGCATTTCTAAGAATTAAGCAGGAAGCTTTTGAATCTTTGATTCAGACCTTTCTTTTTTTTTTTTTTGAGACAGAACCTCAAGCTATTGCCCTGGGTAGAGTGCTATGGCTTCACTGCTCACAGCAACCTCCCAACTCCTGGGCTCAAGCGAGTCTCCTGCCTCCGCCTCCCAAGTAGCTGGGACCACAGGCGCCCGCCGCAACGCCTGGCTATTTTTTGGTTGCAGCCATTATTGTTGTTTGGCAGGTCCAGGCTGGATTTGAACCCGCCACCTTAGGTGTATGTGGCTGGCGCCTTAGCCACTTGAGCCACAGGCACTGAGCCGATTCACACCTTTCTTAGAGAGCTATGCCAGGACTCAATGCCATATATACTTGTACAGGGTGTCCATAAAGGTTGTATGCAGTTTAAAATAGTTTAACATAGTAAATTGCATTTGAAGTTTATGGACACCCTGTGTGTTTGTATATACTCACACACATATATGTATTTTTTCTCAGAGATGAGGTCTTACTCTTTCATCCATGATGCAGTGGCATGATTATAGCATACTATAAGCTCCAACTCTTGCCCTCAAGGAATGCTCTAGCCTTGGTCTTGTAAAGTCCTAGGGTGAGCCACCACTTCCAGCCTTCAGGTGCTATATTCTTAAATGTTTTAAGTGAGCATTAGTGATAGGTTAAAATTTTTTATCTTTTCTATTAGATTGCTGAGCTGAAAAGAGGCGCTGAAATTATTGTTTGCACACCTGGTCGAATGATTGACATGTTAGCAGCTAACAGTGGTAAGTCTGGGGTATTTTTTGTTATTTTTTTCTCTTATTTTTGCATTCTGTACCTTTTTCTTAAAAGAAGATAACAAGAAACCAGGAAAGGGTTTCTGCATTTTTTCTTAAAGCTGTAATATGTTAAAATTTGTATTGTAACAAGTTTGTTGTTATAAACATTTATGATAATTTTGCAGTTTAATTTAAAATTTCTTTCCAGAATGAACTCCATTTGATTTCTACCTTGCATTGTTCATTCGTTTCTGGCTTGGCTGTGTAATTAAAAGAGTGGGAATGCTATCCTTTCATTTATTAATAATGAAAAGTTTAGGCTTTCTCCCTTGGAGTTAGTTACAATACAGGATAAATTAAGATATTGCAGCTTCAAGAAATTTTATCTTTTATAAATACTGCATGTTTTTTAGTTCACATATTTTGCTTTGTTAAATTATTCCCTATCAAAACTGTTACTAAACTGTTGACATTGTTTAACTTCTGTGGAGAAAGGCCCTTCAAGATTTATAGAACTGGGCTTCCGAGACTTAAACCATCAAAGGTAGGTAATTTAATGCTGTTCCCAACCTTGCAAAATTAATTAAGGCTACAAATGTTAGTGCGGAATACTTAACTGTTAAACAGTGCTTACTTTGGCTTATTTTATAGTTTTTGAAGAAAATGCTTTCAAATTTTCTATTGCAGTATTCAGTATATACATAGTAGAGTATTAAAAACTGTGAGTAATGCATGTTGCTAATAGCATTCTGCTTGAATTTATGTATAAATTTAATTGTAATTGTATATGAAGTTGAATTGTATATGAAAGTGATATTAAAATTGTTTGACAAGTCATTGTGCTTATATAGCATATGAAAAGTATTGGATTGAATGCTGATTAAATAATCCCTTGTTTTTTCTTAATGCTGGATTAATTAAGTTTCTTTCTGAAATTCATCTTTATTAATTTTACCTTTTTCCCTTATCTGTCCTTTTGGTCTATTTTTATTAACTATTTTATATATGTTTTTGCTAGGTTATTGATTCAACAGTTGGTAGCAATGCTCGTGTTAATCCTTTAGAAAGGATTTCCTGTATACATACTTTTCACTGGTTAAGAAACCAGTTGCATTTATTTAAACCAGTATGAGCACTTAATAAAATTGGATTTTTATCTTTGTGTAGAAAATTGTATTTATATAATGCATTTGGTATTTGAAGTTTTTTGTAAAATGCTAGTTTCCTATATCATAGCTTCTCAGTAATGGTTTAACATACCTATTTAAGAAGCTGCTAAATACTATATGGAAGTAAGTTATAAAGTAGTTAAAAGAAGTTTGCTGCATCTGAAGTAGTTAGCACTGGAACTTGCTTTCCACACATACGCTGTAATCTCTAATATGTTTTTTTCTAGGTGATGCTGTCAGATAATGGCTGATGTGGCTCGATGCTTCATCTCAGTCTTAGTTTTATGATGTGTTTTGGAGAGGGCTGTTTTCTGAATTTTACAGGTTCTTCAGGCCCTATGATGGTATGCAAGAGACGAGTTTGACAAAATAAAGGGCCTCATATACCCATTGTCAGAAAGTATTTGCCATTAGATTAAGACATTGTAGATCAAAACTTCTTTTCACTGTTTAAAAAGATACCTAACCTACCCCTCTGGTTAAGTCAGGCATTTTAGTTCCCTTTACAGTTTATTTAAAAGTTCTTGGTAGCTATTAAACGAATTCTGACTGATTTTTAGTTTTCTTTTTGTCTTTATTTTTTTCTTCTAATCTTAGGCCGGGTCACAAATCTTCGAAGAGTAACATATGTAGTTTTAGATGAAGCAGACAGAATGTTTGACATGGGTTTTGAACCACAGGTAATTATTACATGTCTTAAGTATTTTGAAGTGTGAATAGAACCTTATAACTGCTATGAAAACAAAATGTTTGGTTCTGAAATTCACATACATTTCTGTTGCATGGTAATAGAGAAGACTGGGGACATGTGGGGTTGAAGTAGCTAAATAGATATTTATGTTTTAGATTCGTCATAAAATTTGTTCAGGAGGTATTTGTGTAGGATTTTTTTTTTTTTTTTTTGAGACAGAGTCTTGCTTTGTCACCCTCAGTAGAGTGCTGTGGCATCATAGCTCATAGCAAACTCAAATTCTTGGGCTCCAGTGATTCTCTTGCCTCAGCCTCCCAAATAGCTAGAGCTACCAGCACCTGCCACAACATCCAGCTATTTTTTTTTGTTTGTTTAGCAGGCCTGGGCTGGGTTCAAACCAACCAGCCTCAGAGCATGTGGCCAGTGCCCTAACCACTGAGCTACAGGCGCCTAGCTTTTCTTAACCATCTAAAAGTATCACTGGTAAAACTAGAATTGCAATATTAATAATAGAAGCTTGTTAAGCTTTCATAATTTATTTTCATTGTTATTTTATTCATTTTCGAATCAAGGCAGCTACATTCTACAAAATAGAATGAGAGCTCCACTTCTTTTTGTGTTTTTTTTTTGAGACATAGTCTCACTCTGTCACCCTGAGTACTGTGGAGTCATAGCGCAAAGCAACCTCAAACTCTTGGGCTCAAGCACTCCTCTTGCCATAGCCTCCTGAGTAGCTGGGACTGTAGGCATCTGCCACAATGCCCAACTATTTCTTTTTAAATTAAAAGAGATGGGGTCTTATTCTTGTTTAGGCTGATGGTGAACTCCTGAGCTCAAGCAGTGCATGCACCTGGGCCACCAAGAATGCTAGGATTACGGTTGTGAGCCACTACATCCAGCTTTTGTGTAATGTCTTAAAAGACTGATATTTTAAACACTCTAATGTGAAGTTGCAGTGATGTTGCTAGCAAACTCAAGTTTTCAAACTAAACATAGTTAATTATGTCTAATTTTTTTTAAACATATTGCAGTCCTCTTAATTTAATGAATACTATGTGGTATGCATTGTGTCTGCTGGGGAGATAGCAGTGAGCTGTTTCTCAAAGTTTACTTTTTGATTAGGAGAAACAGACAAATAGTATACATCAGATGATATGCTGTGAAGAAAAATAGCACAAGTTAATAGAAAGTGATGGAAGGAAATGGACATAAAGAAATGCTACTCTGTATGTAGAGTAGTTAAGAAAGGCCTTTTTTGGTAAGGTGATCTGAAGTATGATAGGCAAAGAGCAAGTGCTAAAGCCCTAAGTCAGGTGGGAGCTTGCTTGGTTAACATCCTTGGAGCAGAGTCAATGACGGGGAAAGCAGTAGGAGTAGAAGATGAGGATAGAAAGAGGTATGTATGGGTATGTGATGTTGGTGGTGTAACAAAGAAAGTGCAGGCTATTTTTTGTTGCAGTTTGGATGGGGCCGGGTTTGAACCTGCTATCCCTGGTATATGGGGTCAGCGCCCTACCCACTGAGCCACAGGCGCTGCCTGATGATATGGGTTTTAAGTAGAGGAATTCCTAATCTGATTTCTTCTTATCCTTTAGTTTTATTAGTTAATGCATGGACTTAGGTTTAAAAGCAACCCCTCTCCCACATCTCTTAGCTCTTGGTGTGACATTTGTCTCCACTTCTCAAAATAGAGTGCTTTTATTTCTACTTTTTCATTTTTCTATTTTAGACATTATTTATTGACTTTCTGTAGTAGAACATGATTTATCTTGTGTTTTCTTCCTTTCCCTGTCACCATCACGTATCTTTTCCATCCCTTATCTTCCCTAGAGTTGTGTCGCTGTCTTAATTGGATTTGTATCCTAGGTTAAGGCATCCAAAGTGGTTTTCATAGCTAAGCAGTATAATAAACTATGATTATTTTATTAATAACTTTCCTGTGAAACTTTTTGTTATACCTAGATTTCTTTTTTTCTTTCTTTCTT